CTAACAACAGGACTGGAAAGCCAGATTGGTAACCAAGTCTGACAGATTAAGCAAACTCAGAGCTGGCGGACACAAGAGGCCTGGCTTTCAATCCCGGTCCTGCCGTTGACTTTGATCTTGGGCCTTTCAAAGCCTTTCTGAAGCTCTCCGCTCTCAGGTAAGCCTGCCTGCGGCATACAGCGGCCAGGACAAATAAGTACAGAAGCACTCGGGTAATTAGAAAACGTTTTTCACACTTAAGGAAATCGCCAAAGCACAGGAGAGGTTTTCCAGGCTGTGCCGTTGGCTGTCTGGCCACGGTCTCCGCTCACCTGAGAACCACCTCTCACAGCCTTGGGTGCGTGAGCAGCTCCAGGCTCCTGCTCTCCCTCTGAGTCCCTGTGAGTGCGCACACACGTGCAGTCTGTGTCGATTAGGAATCAGTCACTGTTCACAGGCTGCACTAGGGCCTGGCTGCTTCCAGGGAGCCCTGAGAGTCGGCGTGCATTTATTTATTTTCATTTTATTTGAGAGGCAGAGAGACAGAGCTCTTTCATCTGCTGGTTCAGTCCCCAAATGCCCACAACAGTTGGGACTGGGCCAGGCAGTCCTGTGCCAAGAGCCAGGAATTCAATCCAGGTCTCCCCCGTGTGTAGTAGGGACCCAAACGCTCAATCCATCATCTGCCTCCCGCGTTGCACATTAGCAGGAAGCTGGACCGGAAGTAGGGTGACCTGGACTTGAACCAGGCACTCCAATATGGGATCTGGGTGTCCCCAGGGAGCAACTTAACCATGACACCAAATGCCCACCCTGAAAACTGGCACTTCTAACAAGTACCCAAGTCGTGTGGATCTAGGGACCAGATCGCTCTTTGAGAATCAGTGATCTAGTTCAAATGATAGTGGTCTATGCTGCTACTAAGAAACCAATCCGCAGGGCCAGCACTGTGGCGTAGTGAGTAAAGCCGCTGCCTGCAGTGCCAGCATCCCATATGGGCACTGGTTCGAGTCCTGGCTGCTCCACTTCGGATCCAGCTCTCTGCTATGGCCTGGGAAAGCAGTAGAAGATGGCCCAAGTGCTTGGGCCCCTGCACCCACAAGGGAAACCTGGAAGAAGCTCCTGGCTCCTGGCTTTGGATCAGCGCAGCTCCGGCCGTTGTGGCCATTTGGGGAGTGAACCAGTGGATGGAAGACCTCTCTCTCTGCCTCTCTGTAACTCTGCTTTTCAAATAAATAAATAAAGCTTAAAGAAAGAAAGAAAAGAAAGCAGTCTGCTGCTTCCCTCGCTTCTCCTGCCTTACTTTCCCACAGGGTCAGCACATGTGCACCTGTCCCTGTCCCACGTGAGTCGGAGTAGAGGCTGTTCGCACTCAGATCTCAGCTTTAGGGATTTGCCTGGCTGTTGTCCCTAGTTGCATAGATCCTCGTCTCTCTCTGGTTTTATCACTAAGTCTTAGCCAAGAATTCAGGATTTCGACCATTTGTTTAAACATGCAACGCCAGTTGGCCACATTTGCCGCACTGGCATGAACGGAAGTGGGGGGGGGGGCGGTGCTTACTGAACATCACCCCCTGGAAGAAAGGGCACCTGGTGGCTGGCTGCCCTGACCCAGAGCCCTCGGAGGGCTGTGTCCTGTGGTTGTTCAGGCCCCCGTGCCCGGGCTCCGCCCTAAGGACCCTGTGCACAAACACATTCGATGCACACAGCACCACAGTGAGCCCCTGTTCTACACCTGAGCGACCTCCCCCGACTCAGAGCTTCAAGCAGGAGAGGCAGATCTGGGCCAGGCGGTTTGCCAGCCAAGTCTGGGCGCCCAGCCACCAGTTATGCCACCCGATACCGCGCCCCGCGCCGGAGAAGTGTGCTCTGCATCTGAAAGACTACAAGGGTGCTTCAGAAGGTTCCTGGGCGTGTAAAGGAAGGCTAAGTTTATTTTGGTGCAAAAATTTCAAAATCCACGGTTTCCTCATAGCTTGCATCTCACACTTCTTGACGTGCCCTCGTGTCTCCCACTTCATCGGGAAAGCCGAGAGGGGCAGCCGGGTTCGGCCTTCTTCCTCTTCTCACCTGTGAACCACGCCTTCCCAGCTGCCCCACCCGTTTCCCCTCTCAAGGTCGTCCCTTCCCCCACGGCTCTGCTCCCACCCCTTCCCGTTTTCTCAGCACTCATCACTTACTCAGGCTTTCAGTGGCCTCTCCTTACCTCGCTCAAGCATGGGATTGCCTGGGGGGCCCAGTATTCACTTTCAGCTACTGTTCATTATTCTCTCTGCCTCTTCAAACAGTCCTTTTTTTTTTCTTTTGAGATTTATTTATTGGGGCCCGGTGCTGTGGCACAGCAGGTAAAGCCACCATCTGCAGTGCCGGCATCCCATATGGGTGCCAGGTTGAGTCCCGGCTGCTCCACTTCTGATCCAGCTCTCTGCTATGGCCTGGGAAAGCAGTGGAAGATTGCCCAAGTCCTTGGGCCCCTGCACCCACATGGGAGACCCGGAAGAAGCTCCTGGCTCCTGGCTGTGGATTGGCGCAGCTCTGGCTGTTGCAGCCAACTGGGAAATGAACCAGCGGATGGAAGACCTCTCTCTCTCTCTCTGTCTGCTTCTCTCTGTGTAACTCTGACTTTCAAATAAATAAATTAGCCTTTTTTTAAAAAAAGATTTATTTATTTACTTGAGAGGCAGAGCTACAAATACACAGAGAAGAGACAGAGAGAGAGAGAGGTCCTCCATCCGCTGGTTCACTCCCCAAATGGCTGCAACGGCCGGAACAGGGCTGATCCAAAGCCAGCAGCCAGGAGCCTCCCTGGGCCCCCAACGTGGGCGCAGGGGCCCAAACACTCAGGCCATCCTCCACTGCCCTCCAGGCCACCAGAAACTGCATCGGAAGTGGAGCAGCCGGGATCCGAACCACCGCCCACTTGGGATGCCTAACCCACAGCGCCATGGCACCGGCCCCCAGCCCTCACTTCCTACCCTCCCTTCCCATTCTCATCAGGGTCCCGGCTGGTTCCCTCTCTCATGCTGGGCTGCCTCCACCACTACCTTGCAGTGGCTGATGCTTCAGGTCTTACTTCCTGCAATTACGTGCCTGTTTGCCTTTGGCTTCTTGGGCTTGCCTCTGCCCTCAGCACTGACCAGCCATCCCTGGGGGAGGCCGTCTTAGGAAGGAAACTCTAGAGTGTCCGGCATCTTAGACTGGCCCGGGGGGAGGGGCGGTACCCCTGCACTACCTGTGGCTTCTCTACTGTCTGTCCGTCTATCTTCCCACGAGTCTCACCTGAGGAAAAACTATCTTTCTATCGCCAGCTCCTAGTACAGCCTGCTGCAGAAGACACGCAACAATTATCTGTTGACCAAACCACCCGAAGCGCTTGGCTTCACGGATGTTCAAGCCACTTCTGCAGATGTGTATAGCAGTTTTCAACAGTGTTACACTCAGGGAAGGCAGCTAGCCAGAGAGCGGGCTGGATAAGACTTTCTGAAGGTGTTAGCATCGGAGCTGGAAACAGTGTCATTCCAGAGGCAGGGCAGGGAGACCAGGCCTAACGTTCATCTCCTGGGCCAGACCCTGGAGGGCAGCGAGCGGGAGGGACTTTGCTGAAATGTCAAGTTTACATGAGGGAAGAGAAGATTCAACCAACAACACAGGTAGGGAAGGTAGGTGGGGAGGCCTGGAGATGAAGCCAGGAGGCTCTGGCACCGTCCCCTGGGCAAGCGGCAGGCACGGCTGAGCACTGAGCCCAGCGATCCTATCCGAGCTGGGTCAGAAGCAGGGCGCACCGGAGCGGGGAGCAGCCCAGTGGGATGCTCTCAGAAATCTCATGCAGGTGGCAGCACGGGGACTGTCAGGAAATAGCTGTAGGTGCCGGCGCTGTGGCGGAGTGGGTAAAGCCGCCGCCTGTGACCCCAGATGGGCGCCAGTTTCAGTCCCGGCTGCTCCACTTCCCATCCAGCTCCCCGCGAATGCACCTAGAAAGCAGCAGAGGACGGCCCAGGGCTGGGCCCCTGCACCAGCGGGAGACCCAGATGGAGCTCTAGGCTCCTGGTGTCAGCCTGCACCAGCCTCAGCCATTGCAGCCATGTGGGGTGAGAACCAGTGGACTGAAACGCTCTCTCTCTCGCTTGCGCGCTCTCTCTCTCTCCATCATCCTTTCATATAAATAAATCTAAAAAATTTAAAAAGGGGCCAGTGTTGTGGCACGGAGGGTTAAGCCGCAGCCTATGACAACAGCATCCCATATGGGTACCAGCTCAAGTCCGGCTGCTTTACTTCTGGTCCAGCTCCCTGATAATGCACCTGGGCAGATGGCCCCAGTGCTTGGGCCCCCGCACCCATGGGAGACCCAGAGGAAGCTCCTGGTTTGCGGCCATCTGGGGAGTGAACCAGTGGATGAAAGAGCTCTCCCTCTCTCTCTAACTCTGCCTTTCAAATAGGTAAATGTTCAAAAAAAAATAAAAAGCTGCACCTTAGACTGATGCTTTTTAAAAAAAAAAAAAGATTTATTTATTTATTTGAAAGGCAGAGTTACAGAGAGAGAGGAGAGGCAGAGAGAGAGAGAGGTCTTCCATCTGCTGGTTCACTCCCCAATTGGCCACAATGGCCAGAGCTGTGCTGATCTGAAGCCAGGAGCCTGGAGCTTCCTCCAGGTCTCCCATGCAGGTGCAGGGGCCCAAGGACCTGGGCCATTCTCTACTTCTTTTCCAGGCCACAGCAGAGAGCCGGATTGGAAGTGGAGCAGCCAGGACTCGAGCCGGTGCCCACATGGGATGCCGGCACTGCAGACAGCGGCTCCACCTGCTACACCACAGCACCAGCCCCCTGATACTCTTTAGATTGAATAACATGTAACTGGGTGTGACTGAGAAATACTGGACGGAAGGCAGCGTTGTAAACCCAGGTGATCAGAACAGTTCCATTACCCCCGACAGGCGGAGCTCCCTGGACCCGGCACCGGCCCAGCCAAGTCTTCTGTCTGAAAGACGACTCACAGACGACACAGTTTCTCAGCCACTCCCATGTCTTGTCATGAACGAGGAAGTATTTATTAATGACACCTTGACATGGACACGCGTGTTCTGGCTGCCAGGAAGCTTTCGTAACGGGGAGGGAGGGCGAGCTGACACTGAAAGGGGAACGGGGCGCTGGGGGCCGGCGGGCGCGGTCATCTGAACAGGCGGAACTTCTTCAGGACCTGGCTCACCTCCTCCTTGGGGTAGGGCCGGAGCGCCAGGCAGGTGGCCGTGTTCTCCGGCTGCTCCAGCCACAGCACGTGGTCGATGTTCCTCTGCCGCAGGGTCTCCGCCAGCTCCTGCAGGGCGGGCTCGTCTGAGGCCTGCGGGGGCACAGCACGGACACACACACAGAGGGCATGTAGGGAGGGTCCAAAGGCAAACGAAACCCCTGGACTGCAAACGGAAGAACTTGTCAAAGGAGCTGTCGAGGAAGCTGTGTCCCTTGGTTTGCCGCTCATTCTCTACAGCACCTCAGAGAGCTCACGCAGCCGCCTAGGACGCCAGCATCCCATTCGGGCACGGGTTCGAGTCCTGGCTGCTCCCTGCTACTGCACCTAGAAAGCAGCAGAGGATGGCCCGAGTGCCCGAGTCCCTGCCCCCGTGGGACACCCAGATGGATGCCAGGCTCCTGCCTTTGGTCTGGCCCAGCCCCTGCTCTTGGGTCATCTGGGGAGTGAACCAGAACATGGAAGAGTGATCTCTCTGTCTCTCCCCATCTCTAACTCTGCCTTTCAAAATGACTCTTAATAATAAAAAAAGCAATTATGCTCCATAAGTTGTCCAGCCTCTCGTGGCTGGTGCCCGTAAAACAACCTCTAGTCTTTCAGCCTGCTCCGACTTTGAGAAAGATTTCTAAAGTCACAAGTACCCTCTTCCTCCCTCTCCCACCCAATTCAGCCTGGAGAGGTTTTTCTTCTGCTGGGATAGCTCCCGCGCGTTAACGAAAGGGAACGCAAACTGGTCTCTAACATCCTTCCTTCCACACGTGGCTCTTGGTCATCCTGACCACCCGTTCCAGGTGTTCCCTAAGGAAATAGCAAAACCATTACTCAAAAAATCGGCAGTTTGTCGCCTACGCGGGCAGAAGCCACAGGATAACTACGGGCTTCTCCCCAGCCAGGGAATGCGGGGACCACGGCTTTATCTAGGGAGTGTCTTGGGCACAGCCACCAGGGATGGCTTCCCGGCAGTTATGCGGGACAAGGAGCCCAGCGGGCCTCTAGCACCTCGGTAAGTAGTGGCTGAGCCGCCATCTGCCTCCCTCTGCAACAGGGGTATAGCACATCCCAGGGGTAATGAGGATTCGGCGATGCGGGCTTGGACCCAGCACGTGGCAGCGCACCGAGTGCAGTCTACAGTAGCACAGGGCAAGCACCCACAGTCGCAGCTGACTGGGCACTGCCGTCTCCTTTGCTGGCCTCACGGCCACAGCACCACCTGTTTGTGCAGCAGTGGCCCGAAGGCTGTTTCTTTAGTCATGGCTAACAACCTGCATCTGGAACCCAAGGGAATCCAAACTCTGTAGGCTTCGGGTGGCTACAAAAGGGGGGATCTGAACCACAGGACAAGGCTGTTCCTTTAAAAAAAATAGTCACAAAACCCAAACGGAGAGGGAACTGGTCTCCCTCCCAGCAGCGGTCTTCTTGACAGAAAGGGAGTTCTGTGTCCACCAGGGAGTCCTGAAGGGGCTCCTCCGCCCGCCACTTGGAGTCCTGGTCTCTTCTACATTTTTCCCGCATTACAAAATACGCGCTTGATTAGAAAATTTAAAAATACAGAGCAGCCTTAGGAAAAACTGAAATCCTACCACCTACTCCTTAATACTTAAAAATCCGTACTTTGGACTCAAAACGCAATCATCCTGTATACAGAGCATCATTCAAGCGGCAGCCAATGGCGGGCACGCTTTCACGCCACTAACTGTGCTTAAAAACAGCATGAATCAACAGCACAGAGTCATCAATCCCGAGAATTGGAAACTTAGTAAGTTCCACTTTTTAAGCCAATATGAAGTGCTAGGAATACCCTTGCGCAAAGCTCTCTGGGTACCGCTGATCACCGTCCCAGAATATACAGTGTTTGCAGCAGGGGAAGTGACTGAAGAGAGTGAGAGAGCTGTTCGGAAATCTGCAAGAAGACCCCACCGCCCTAGCTAAAGTGCACGAATTTACACCCAAGGTATTTCTGAAGTTTGGTTCCGTGTATACGAGGGTCTTTATGTACCTTCAAATAATTTGGCGTCACATCCGCCTAATGGCTTTGGTTTGACCTCACTCTGCATTGCTTCCTTGGCAATGAGGAGCCCTAGGCCCTTATCCCTTTGGGGTTGGTACTGCGCGGTGGCATCAGGTGTGGGCACGTGCACGGTGCAAAGGCGGGGACAAGCCCCGCCACTCTCCCGCCCGCACAGGGGATGCGGCGGCCACCGGGTTCCGGTGACACCAGGGAGTGCGGAGACGCCTTAGTAACGTGTCCAAGGTCCACCGCTCGCGCAGTCAGGCCCGGCGCCCCGAAAGCTCAGCTCCCCACAACCCCTTCCCAAACATAAAAGAAGGACGCCCTCCCTCCGCAGGCCACACCCGCCCCGCGACGCTTCGCTTCCCCACCCAAAGCCACACCCACTTCCGGCATCCGCAACCTCAGCGTCTCTGCCCCACCCCACCCCGCCGCGGCGCCTCACCTCGAGCACCACCTTGCGCATGCGCCCCAGCTCCCGGAGGTAGGCGGCTGTGTGCGGGTGGTCGCGGTGAACGTGCAAAGCCGCGGTGGCTGCGTGGCAAGCTTGTGCTACCAGTGCTCCTGCCGGCCAGGAGAGCGGAGCCTGCGACAGATCCTTTCGTAACACCAAGTACTGTACTAGGACCTGCGGCTCCGCCCCTGAAGACGCCATCTTCCTAATCGACCGAAAGACCGGATCCAGTCTCCGGTGCATGCTGGGATTAGGGAGGAGCCCTGAGCGCCGCCATGTTTTTGTACGGCTGGCGCGCAAAGCACGTCGGGAGCGGCGGGGTTGGTTTTGAAGGCGAAGACGGCGGGAAAGTCCATCCGATCCGAGAGGGACTGAGTGAGAGGAGAGGAGCTAAGAGGACCAAGGTAGAGGACTGAACGGCCTTTGAGAACGGATTCCGTGTGCCCGGGGGCGGAGTAGAGAGACCGTGCCCTCGGGCTCCCGGGGGTGAGGAGGTGGGCGTGGACACAGCTGCTGGGACTTGGGGGTCGCGGTGGGGGCGGGCTGGAGGGCCTGGCAGGGTCAGCCCGGCCGGAGAGGCGAGGAGATGTGACCTGGGTGTCGTTTCCTTCTCCAGCAGGGACGTTTGGGGCCCCGGTGCCGCCTGCCTGCCCGGCTTCCTAGGAAGGCTTTGGGAACCTGCGATGGAGCCGGCGAACGCCTCCCGTCCGGACGGCGAGCCCCACGGAGGTATTGAAGTTTCCCCCTGCCGCTTCGCCGCCCATCTCTCCCGTGCCCGCTGTGTGACCGGGGCCGTGCGCGAGCAGACGGGCGAAGGGAGCCAGCGTGGACCCCCCGAGAGCGAGGCTGGCGGCCGGGCCAGGGCAGGTGTCGCTGGGCGCCCGCCCCCTCGAAGCCGTGCTCTTGCTCATGTTTGGGGCTCCAGTTGCAGGCTGTGCGACCCCGCGCCGCTCTCCCCTGGACTCCTTGGGGCGCTTTTGCGTCCATTCCTGCCGGGCGAGGGCCGGTGCTGGTTAGAGCTGGCGTCTCGTCCTGGCCGCCCCTTACAGTGAGTGTGGGCCTGAGCAGGTGGTTTTACAAGGCCAGGGTCAAGTCTGAAGGGTTCTACATCAGCGTCTCGGGAAGACGTGCATAGAACTCAATTTAAGAAAAGTAATTCCACAGCCTTAAAAGCAGCTGGCGAGGGTCGGTGGGGTTGGTGAGCCTGCTTTTCTTGGAGTCACTGAGTAGCTTAGGCTGGGACTTCAGGTAACACATATGTGGGTTCAGAGTTGTTACTTTAGTACTAAAAGTAGCTGTGGTTACTGTAGGCGTCAGTGCCATGGGCGGTGGGGGATAGCCCCACTCTGTAGGCCTTTTTTTTTTTTTTTTTTTTTTGACAGGCAGAGTGGACAGTGAAAGAGAGAGACAGAGAGAAAGGTCTTCCTTTGCCCTTGGTTCACCCTCCAATGGCCGCCGCGGCCGGCGCGCTGTGGCCGGGGCACTGCACTGATCCGATGGCAGGAACCAGGTACTTATCCTGGTCTCCCATGGGGTGCAGGGCCCAAGCACTTGCACTTGGCTTCCACTGCACTCCCTGGCCACAGCAGAGAGCTGGCCTGGAAGAGGGGCAACCGGGACAGAATCCAGCACCCCGACTGGGACTAGAACCCGGTGTGCCGGCGCCGCAAGGCGGAGGATTAGCCTAGTGAGCCGCGGTGCTGGCCAAGGCCTGGTTTTTTAAATAAGCCATGAGGTGGACGACTGGGATCTTCCAGAGCGGTGGATGGAAGGGTTGTCCTGGGCTCCTGCTGTCCGCAGTGTGGACACAGCTGTTGCTTGTTCTCTGTGCGGCTGATTTCAGTTCTTTCAGAAGGAAGTATCCTGAGCTCCGCTCGTCTGGGAGGAAGAGCGCCGAGTTTTAGTTGCAAACCGGGTGATTGCTTCAAACAAGCAGGGGTTTGGTCTTTTCTGTCCCCTTCCTGGGACGGAAGTGACTGGCTGAGATGGGCGGCAGGCTTCCAGAGCCGGCGACAGCAGCACGGGGCGACAGGCGGCCACGGTTCTGGGCTCGTGTGTGTGTGTCAGAACTCTGGGGATGTTCCTGCGTTGCAGTAGTGTAGAGTGGACCCTTGAGGACAGCACTTGACGGTTTCAAGTTATTTGCATCGTTCTACGTAGAAGGTGGGGAAAGTTCCACGCACATGAGTACTGAGGGGTCTTTATGTCTGTAAACTAGGACTTGACTAAGCGTCTCTGTGCGGCCTTCTCCGAGTCTGGGTGTGCCCTTTCCCGTCATGCCCTGGTGCACGGCAATCCCGGTGAGCCCTGGGAGGACAGGGGCCGTGCTCCATCGTCACAGTGTGAACAGCTTCCAGCACAGGCCCTGGCCACGGTGGGTTCTCAGTACCGGTTGTTGGGTAAACAGAAGCTGGCTAATAAGGCAGTTCCCACATGTTGATGACTAGGACTCATTTATTAAGGTTTTCTTTTTTCTGCAGAATGGGTAAGTGTGCTTCTTGCTGTAGTAGACGTTTCTGTAAGCGTTTGCTGAAGTAAGCTCACTGCAGGAGCATCGTGGCGTGCTGTCCGCCTGTCAGGAAATATTACAGAGCCTTTACCGTAGGCCGTGCACTGCGCCGAGTGTTAGGGACACGTGGATAAGCAGAGCACGTGGTGCCTGACTGGGGAGCTTTTAGGGTGCATTGGGAAGATAAACGTTTACTGGAATGATCACTAATTACAACCGGAAGTGCAGTATGGTCTCTGCAGGAAAGTCATGCCATTGAGCACCGTGAGAGGTGCTGACCTTGTTCCGAGGTGCCACAGAGGTTCCCAGAGGAAATGTGTGCAGGGTGCCGACGAGCTGGGGTGGGTGGAGCGCAAGGTGGCGGGAGGGGCTGGAGAGCCTCTGCTGCAGGGGGATCGCATGTGTGAAGACACGGGGCTGGCCCAGCGGCCTGTGAGGGGGCCCTGGAGGGAAGAGAGGAGGAGATGGGGGTACTGATGACAGGAGGGGAGGCAGAGCCGCGGGTGGTGTGGAGTCACCGACAGAGGGCGCTAGCTCCGTAACGTAATCAACCAGATTTCGAGTGCTCCTGGGGTGTGCAGACCGCCCAGTAACCTTGCAGGAGCCAGGGGTGATGGAGCCTTGGACTGCAGTGTGGCAGTGCAGATGAAGAGATGCCAGGAACATACGTTCGGTAGGATTTAGTAACAGGCGGGGTGAAGCATGACACTGCGTGTCCAGTTTTCCCCGGTGAGTGATGGGCTGGCGTGGAGGAGTTTGGGGGGAGGTGATGAACTCAGTCTTGGCCGCGGGGCTCCTCTGAGACTTCCCAGGAGATGCACTGGAAGCAGATCAGGAGGGAGGGAGGTGCAGGTCAGAGGCGCCTCCTTGAGACGCTCACTTACACGCGGTCACCAGGCTGTGGGTAGTGGAGAGATTTCGTCAGGAGGAAGAGATCCTGGGACGGAGCTCCGGAGAGTGCCAGCGTGCACGGGCCAAGGGGAATGGTTGCGCCTGCGCAGCAGAAACGCGGTCCAGAGAAGGCGAGTGCAGGCGCACAGGAGCTTTGTTGCGTTGGTTACTGTGTCCCCAGTACCCAGATAACGCCTGCCATGAAGTAGTTGCTTAGCAGACATGCAGGATTGAGGCAGACCAGGACGCTGGTAGGGTGGGATTCAAGGGACGCGAGTGTGCGGGACGTGATGAGCAGGAGAATCTTGCGCTACCAGGAGGCGTGGGGCCAGCGGCAACTTAAACTGCTCGTTGGTCGCAGTGTGGACATCATTCGTGACCTTAGAGTACGGAATGATGGGAACGGGCAGTTGGGACTTGGGTCAGTGTTCGTTCTGAGAGGTCACAGATCTTGGATTTCAGTCGTCGGCTTGACTTGCACATGTGGGTGTGGAACAGCTCAGCTGGCCGCCAGGTTCTGGAAGACTGTCCCGCTCCGTCCCTGAAGCGCTTCCCGCGCCAGCGTCAGAAACGGGCTCCTGTGCGGTCTCCTTTCCCTCCTTAGGTGTTTTGGCCCACCTGGAAAGGCTGGAGGCACAAGTGACCGAGTCCCGCACAAAGTCCGCAGAGCGGCAGAGGGCTCGGGCAGAGGGAGGTGCCCTCGGGGCCAGGATACAGAAACTGCGACGTCTGCGAGATGAGCTGAGGGCCGAGGTGCAGCGGCGGCGAGCCTCGGTGAGTCGGGGTGGAGGGTGACGGGTGACGCCGCGGCTCTCCTGGGGTGTGGAGTAAAAGCACGGTCGAATCCCGTGGCTTCCTTGTGATCGCGTGAGGTAGTTACGTTGCTTGGTCCTGCCGGTGATCCGTCCTGTGCAGCCGCTGTCACTGTCACACTCCTGATGGGCCTGGCCATTCTCATACAGGCTCGAGCTGCCCTGTGTGAGCGGGTCACCTCAGACTCGGTGTGTCTGGAGTCGTTGATACTTTTGTCCCTAGGGCCACCCGGTCTCCAAACCGCACGGGAAACTCGCAACTTTCCCGGTTTTCCAGTTTCCTCTCGGGCCAGAGTGCAGCCAGCGAGACCCGTCAGATTTTCCTGTGTGTTGTCTGCGCTGGGTCCCTGCTTTCCCGAGCTCCAGGATCGTCTACATGAAGAGTAAATGCTTGTCTGGTGATTGGGACACCAGGGTTACCACGGTGGTCTGCCAGTGGTCCTTCTTCCAGCCTTTGTGCTTTGCAGTGAACCCTGCGTGGCGAGGAAATGCCCCATAAAGCACCGCGTCACTCCCCAGCTCAGAGACCTCAGTAACCGTTCATCACCCAGCGCGTGAGGTCCTCCCGCCTGTCATCCTCCCTCCCTCCTCCTCTCCTTCTTATTTATTAAGGTAAAATGCATGTAAAGTACAGAGATCCGCTGGACTCCTACAGAGCTGTAGAGGTACAGCTGACATCGCTGTCAGCTAGCGACTGGGTAGCTGCCATGCAGGTCAAAGTCCAGAACACGAGATTCCGGGGCCTGAGCGCTCCTTCAGTGCCTCCTGGTCAATTCTTCAGGGTGACCACTGATCTCATTCTGTCACTGTACATTGGTTTCTGCCTGTTTGTGAACTTTACGTCAGTGTACAACAGTGTACTCATCGTGTCTGGCTTCTTCCCCTAATTGTTGTCAGATTCACCCATCCTGCTGCACTTAGCGATCATTTTTTTTTCTTGCCATGCTGTAAATCTATCTGTGAATATACAGCAGTTTGTCCTTTTTGCTGTTGGTGATGTGGGGTTATTTGGGTGGTTTCACTAGGGTACAGTGAGGACTACAGCTTCTGTGAACATTCTTGTCCCTGTCTTTTGATGTAGAAATACAGTTTTCTATTATGTGTATGCCGAGTAGAATTGCCGAGTCATAGGTTGTACGTACAAGTTTCAGTAAATACTGTCAGTATGTGTGTGTGTGTGTGTGTGTGCGCGTGTGTGTTTAAGTTTTATTCGGGGTCAGTGCTGTGGCGTAGCAGGTGAGGCCGCCCCCTGCAGCGCTGGCATTCCCGTGTGGGTGCTCATTTGTGTCCCGGCTGCTCCACTTCCCATCCAGCTCCCTGCTGATGTGCCTGGGAAAGCAGCAGAGGACGGCCCATGTCCTTGGGCCCTGCACCCTGTGGGAGACCCAGAAGCAGCTCCTGGTTCCGGGGCGTTCCAGCCATTTGGGGAGTGAACCAGCAGATGGAAGATACCTCTGTCTCTCTCTCTGCCTCTGTCTAACTGTGCCTTTCAAATAAATAAAACCTTATAAAAACAAAAGATTAATTTATTTGAAAGGCAGAGAGGGAGAGGAAAAGATCTTCCATCTTCTGGTTCATCCCCCAAATGTGTACAGTGGTCAGGGCTGGGCCAGGCTGAGCCAGTAGCCAGGAACTGCATGTGGGTGGCCCCGGTCCAAGTGCTCGGGCTGTCTGGTGCGGCCTTCCCAGGTTTATTAGCAGGGAGCGGGATCAGCTTGGCACTCTGTGGCACGCTGGCAGCACAGGCAGCAGCCTAACTACTATTGCATCACGACACTTGGCCCTGCCAGTTTTGTTTTTTAAGACTTATTTACTTATTTTACTTGAAAAAGATAGTGACAGAGACTTTCCATCTACTGTTTCACTCCCCAAGTGGCTGCAGCAGCCTGGCTGGACCAGGCCGAAGCCAAGAGGTCCACCCAGGTCTCCTACATGGGTGATAGGAACTCGAGTACTTGATACCATCTGCTGCTTCCTAGGCACATACGTAGGGAGCTGGGTTGCAAGTGGAGTAAGCAAAACTCGCACAGGCACTCTGATACGGGATGCGGGTGTCCCACGTGTCAGCCTCACCTGATGCACCCAGTACCCACCGCAGTCTCTCTTTTAACTCAAATAGGTTAATTTTAGTAAGTTCCTCTGTATGTTTGCTTCTGAAAATTGAAATACATGACAATTTCCTTTATTGGGATTGAAACTCTTGGAAACCAGAAATTCTAGTTACCTGCCCTAATTATTATGCCCTAGCCTAAATAGTCAGTGTTTTTGATACAAATGACTTCGCATTTCAGAAGGACATCGCAGAACTCCTAGTATGTTATCAGCATTACTGATACACGAGTCTGTTAGTGCAGGATAGCTTTCCTCTGTACTGCAGACAGTTAGCAGCGGGACCGGCGCTGGGGCCTGGTGGATTAAGCCACCACCGGTAGCACCAGCCTCCCATATGGGCGCCGGTTCAGTTCCCTGCTGTGCCACTCCCCATCAGCTCCCTGCTAATGCACCTGGGAAAGTAGCAGAAGATGGCCCAAGTGCTTGGGCTCCTGGCTTTGGTCTGGCCCGTATATGGGAGTGAACCAGCGGATGGAGATTAATCTCATTTTTGTCCACACTTCACCATCTGTTCTTATCTAACTGACGCTTAAGCCTGTTAATTCCTAATTGTAGCTGCTGTACTTTCTGGTTCTAGGATTTCTGATTGTTCTTTATAGATTCCTGATCTTTGGTGTGGGTCTCCATCATTCAGTCTGTTCCGGATCGCTGAACCTCCATGGATCTGTTGTTTCCCTCCCCCCCACCCCACCCCCCCTTGGCTTTTGGTCCTGTGTTCCCTTTTCTGGTCCGCCTGTGGGTCTTTGACCCAGCAGTGGGTTTTGTGCATGAAAATGAGTCACGTATCTCCTGCAGAGAGGATCTTAGTGTTCTTTCTGCTGGCAGAGCAGTGCATGGGCTTCTGAATGATGCTGTTGAGGCCGCCTGTTTCCCAGTTGCCCTCGCTGCTAGGGAGTAGCCCTGCTTGGGCCCTAAGTTTGACAGCTTGGAGGGTGCTGGGGACAGGTCTGTCAGGCCTCCCTCCTTTGATAGATACTCTAAATTTTGTAGTCTTTTTTTTTTTTTTAATTTATTTTATTTATTTGATAGGCAGAGTTACAGAGAGGTCGAGACAGAGAGAGAGGTCTTCCATCCGCTGGTTCACTCCCCAGATGGCTGCAACAACCGGAGCTGCGCCGATCCGTAGCCAGCAGCCAGGAGCTTCTTCCGGGTCTCCCACATGGGTCCATGGGAGGATGGACTTGGGCCATCCTCCACTGCTTTCCCAGGCCACAGTGGAGAGCTGGATCTGAAGTGGAGCAGCTAGGACTAGAACTGGCGTCCATATGGGATGCCAGCACTTCAGGCCAGGGTGTTAACCCGCTGAGCCATAGCACTGGCCCCATAAATTTTGTAGTCTTAACCTTTAGCAGATTCATTCTTTCTCTTGTTCTTCTTCTTGGTGTTTTGGCTTTTTTTTTTTTTTAATATTTATTTATGTGAGAGAATTACAGGAGGAGAGAGAGAGAGGTCTTGTGTCTGCTGGTTCACTCTCCACACAGCCACAACAGCCAGATAAGGCCAGCCCGAAGCCAGGAGCTTCTAAGACTAGCAAGTGAGTCTCTGACATGGGTGTAGGGCCCTAGGACTTGAGCCATCTTCCACTGCTTTCCCAGGCACACTAGCAGGGAACTGGATTGGAAATAGAGCAGCTGGGACTCGAACCGGTGCCCATAGTGGATGTCAGCACTGAATACAGCAACTTAACCTGCTGCATCACAGTGCCAGCCCCCTTTCTTTTTTAAGATTGACTTTATTTATTTGAAAGGCAGCATTACAGACAGACAGAGAAGAGACATCTTCCATCCACTGGCTCACTCCCCAAATGGCCACAATGGCTGCACCTTGGCCAAACTGAAGCCAGGAACTCTATCCAGGGCTTTCTGGGTGGCAAGGCTCCAGGTAGTTGTGTCATCATCTTCTGCTTTCCCAGGCACATTGGTAGGGAGCTGGATCGGAAGCAGAGCAGCCAGGACTTGCAGTGTTGCTCCAGTACAGGATGTCGGCATTGCGGGCAGTGGCTTTTCCTGCTGTGCCACAGTGCCAACTCCTAGCAGCTTTCTGTTGGGTCTCTTAGCACCCAGGCACACGTGCAGTTCAGGAACCATGGAGACACTGGAAGACAAGCTGCTGACAAACACTGGGCTCACTTTCCCATGGGATCGTGGCCCTTAGAAAGGGTGCTGTGGTGACACTGAGCCCCAGTGCTGGCTCCCTGATGGGGAGACTTGTTTCTGCTTGATCCATGTACTGAATGACAGATCAGCCAGTGCTCCAAGGGGTCAGCGTCAGAGCGTTTGTCTTTGCTCGCCAGTCCTGGCTGTAGGCTGTTCTCCAGTGCTGCCAAACCCTTGCCTGGCCGCTTGCTGGCTCCTCATTGGTATCTTACCCAGCTTGCATAGCTGTTCCTGGAGGAAGGGTAGCCTGGTACCATGGCAGCCAGAAGTGCTGATCCTAGTCAAGGCTCTGAAGCCTGCAGTCCGACCCAGACCTTCTGCACGGCCCCCAGTTCACTCACCCCATTCAGCCTGGACTCCCCCAGCCCCGGCACAGTCCTCTGCACTCCCAGCCAAACCCTGGCCATTCATCAGCCAGCAGTTTCCAGCGCCGTGACCCACGGTTCTCCTGTGACTCCAGAGCACTAGCGGCCACAACAGTGCTCCTTTGTTGATTGATTACACAGTGGAACATGCTCTTCGTTTAGCTCCTCCCGGTGTCCTCCACCGGACCCGGCGTGACTCGCTACGTGTCGTGCAGGTTAAAGCGTCCACTGCCAGTGTACAGCCTGACCAGACAGCGGGGATGAGCGAGCAGGACGTTTTGGAGAGACGATGGGAACACGCAAAGGCCATGCTGCAGGCGTATCGTTTCACAGGTACGGCTCTCTCCTGGCCTGGCGTGGCGTGGCTGCCTGGCTCCTAGGGAATTAGGTTGCCAGATGTTCCTGCCGGTCCTGGCAGACGTGAGACTTCCTTGCTGTCCGTGCCCTGTCACATGCCGCGTGCTGGCATGCTGCGTGTAGGCACAGGCATCCTGACCTTTAGGTCGGCCTCCTACAGCGGAAGACTGGGTGGCGGCTGGCGTGGTCCATTCGTGTTAGCTCTGTGTGCGCTGGACCCTGCACCCGAACTTTGCTTACTGCTGCCTCAGTTTATGCTGCTGCTCTCCAAGTTTGACCCCTTCAGGTCTGTGTCCCAGGAGAGGGATCTGTTATCTCTCATCTGTGCCGCAGGAGGACTGGAGGAAGAACTGGGGACAGTCACAGGTTATTGGACACTCAGGGAAAATGGGCAGTGAACTGGAAATGTCCCATGTCTCCCTCCGTGATTGAGCAGTGAGCTGGTGGTTTCTCTCCCACCACTCCTCCCTGGTTGGAACAACTCAGTCTGCCAGTGAGCCAGAGTCCAGAGGTAGAACCTCGGCAGTCTCTCAGCTGCAAACCCACGCACGTAACGGCCCAGGCGCAGGCCCCGGGGCCGCTGCTGGCCTGCGTGGAGGAGGCGGGGCCTGGCTGCCTGGCGTCTGCTGACTGGCGGTGGCGTCTCCACCTCAGGGCTCAGCGGACGACTGACCAGCCGCGGAGTCTGCGTGCGCATCAGCACGGCCTTTGAGGAGCACCTGCTGGAGTCCTACTTCGTGGACCTTGTCATCCAGAAGCCGCTGCGGATCCTTCGCCACTCGGTCCCGGTGTTCATCCCTTTGGAAAAGATGGCTGCGCAGCACCTGCAGAGTGACATCCGGCACTTCCTCTTCAGCCTCTGCGAGCACCTGAATGCGTACGCGGGGAGGAAGTTCCAGGCAGACCGCCTGCAGGTACCAGGCCTGCGCGCGCCAGACCCCGTCAGGGCCCGGGACAGACGTGGAAGGGAACAAAGACGTTTCCTAACTCACCGCCACGGCCTTGGGAGCTGCCATCGTCACGTGCTTTGTTCTGTTCTCCACCCGCTAGGGCGACTTCGCCGCCTTTCTCACTGGGCCCCTGCGGAGAAACGCACTGTGCAGCCTGCTGTCGTTTACGTACAGAGTGGACTCGGGGGCTCAGTCTGTCGCCTTCTCCGCTAGACTGCTGTACGAGGACCTCACGGTCACTCTCCCAACTCGCGTCACCGTGGCATGTGAAGGTAGGGGGCAGGAGCCGCCGTCTGCTCTGCTTGTGCGGGCTGCCTGGGGCGGAGGGAGAGTGGGCCCCTGCAGGCACGTCCTTCTGTTGGCCCGCTGTAAGTGTCCTCAGGCGCCGAGGTGCAGACGACTGCGTTTCTGCCAGTTTGTCCCTTTTGTAACCAGTAAGCGTCCCTGCCCCCGCCACCATTCCTTTGATTTATCTCCTTTGGAGACCTCTCATAGAGACACCTGTTGAGGCTATCGTCGACAAATGAGAGTGCACTTGGTTGTCTCGTCTCCTGCACACGGGGCTTTGTCAGGACTGGCGGAGGCCACATGACGCTGCCTCCGCTGAATGCGTCACCGTAATGTGCCTCGGGCAATGGGGAAAGGGGCTTCTGGGAGGGGGACTTTGAAGCTGCCACAAGTGTTGCCTCACAGGCCTTAGATCTCTCTGGGCAGAGTCTGATTGAAGTTCCCAGTTTCAAAATTCCCTTGACCCAGTAAAGGGCAATGCCTCGGAGCCCCAGACTAGAAAGGAAAGGAAAGTGCGTGGGCCGGCACTAACCCTGCTTGTACAAGGAGTTGGGATCTCCTTTTTCAGGGACCGAAGCCTTATCCCGTTCATGGGAACACCAGCGAGCATCCCATGAAGCTCTGTTCTCCACGAAGCCCCTACATCAGGTTTTTGCTTCATTTGCAAGAGAAGGAGAAAAGCTGGATATGAGCCTCATCTCCTAAAGTGCTGCTTCACTGGAGCCCGTTAGAAGTGAGTAATTAGGGCCGCATTGGCCAGGGCCAGGGCCAGTGCACCAGGGACTGTCCTGATGAGAACAGACACCCAGTTTCCTCAGGGGGGAGCGCCAGCTTGGAGTCTCCGAGGTTTCTAGAGAGTTCACCGTCACTGCCTGGTGACCGGTTCCGGTGCTCAAGGTCGTTTCCCCTGAGGGGCTGTGATGGGAGCATATACGGGAGCAGAAGGTCAGCGCTGTGTGGTGTGGGGCAGTAGAAGGCACTTGGTCAGACCAAAGAGCATTTCTGCTTTTCATGGAAGCTGGAGTGTTTGCGCCTCCCTGTGCTGAGTGCTGAGAAGGACATTCTCCGTGCAGGTTCAGGACGTGAGGTAGAACGTGTGTTAGTTCCCTACAGCACCGTCGCGGGGTAGCGACCTTCCCTCTGCCGAAGCCCCAGCTCACGGCGGCCGCATTCCCAGTCCTTTTAGTGAACTCTGTCCCTGCGCCCGTGGGCCTGGCACTGTGCGCTTAGGGCCAGCAGACAGGTAAGAAAACCTGTGTTGGGCCAAGTTCTGGTTCCGTCACCACCCCAAGCTTCCCCTAGACAGGATGAGGTGAAACCGCCACAGGTCAGGGGGGTGCAGGGGGCGGAACAGCCGCCCTCTGGTCTGGACCAAGGGCTGGGTTAGCAAGCACTGTGCAGACAAGTAACGACGAACAAGTTCAAGTGGAATAAAGCTTTTAATAAAACAGTCTTGTTCTTTATCAATACCTGTAAGTTCTCTTAAAGCAGTAGCAAAGGCGACTGTAGCAAGAGCTCAAAAGGCAAGGCAGTATCAGAAAGTGTTTAACAGACAGTTAAAAATATAAATGTATTGATCTGTTTATATATTTTTCTTTCAGAAGTCGCCCCTCCCCCACCAGGTGAAAGGAACTATTGCACTTCCTGCTCTGTGACGAAAGGGACGGGTTCCAGGGGAACCTTTCAAGATTATCAGGACCAGGGCCACGGAGCCTGGCTCGGGTCAGAGACGCCCCGTCTGCAGGTGAGCCCTCTTCGGAATGAGAAGCACTGCTGGGGTGCGGCTGTGGGGGGCGCTCACGAGCACAGCTCCCCTGCCACGCCCCTGCGCTGCGGTCCTGCTCACAGTGGCCGTGGCCTCTTGGGGGTGAAGGGCTGAGTTGGACCCGGGGCCCTGGAAGGACTGTTCCAGAACTGCGCCTATGACCCTGTGCTGGGGAAGCTACAGGCACACTGAGGAGAGTGGCCACTCAGAGCCCACGCGTCCACGAACAGATGAAGGCTTGAGGAGAGCTGTCGACCTAGCGTCTGTGGGAGTGTGCACACGCCAGCGACGCGGCCGCTCAGGGGTTGTCGACCACCTGGTGGGGCAGGGTCACCGAGGAGCCGTTGGGGTAGGCAGCGGGCTTGTCCCGCCCCTTCAGGAAGAAGGTCAGCAGTTCCCCCTTTCCTTTCACAAAGATGGGGCCGCGCCTCACGAAGCGGAAGCCGTACTCTCTCAGGATCACTTGCGTTTCCTCCACCACCTGTGGAGAGCAGGGGTCAGGGTGGAGCCTAGGCCACGCCAGGCCTGGTGCTCTCCCCGGAGCATGGCTGCGCTGGCCTCCATGCCTTTCTGGCCCTTGCCCAGTCCCAGCAGGCTCACGGGCTGCCCTTGCCCAGAACTGCAGATGGCCAAGGCATCTTCTCCCTCTGGAGGCCGCCCCCAGCACACCCCACACTCGCTGATGTACCTGAATGTTGCCCATGACCCCTGTGGACTCCATTCTGCTGGCCACATTGACAGTGTTGCCCCAGATGTCATAGTGTGGTTTCCGGGCTCCGATGACGCCAGCCAGAACCCCTCCTTTGTTCATGCCTGGGGTAGAGGCCACATCTTGTCACGACCCTCAGGCCACCAGTGTCTGACCCGCAGCACAGAGCCCCTGTGGGACACGTCCTGCTTCTCACTAAGCTGTCTGCAGGAGAGCAGAACCACGGCTCCTGTCTAACCTCCTCACCGCGTGCTTGGCAAATGTCAGCTACCCCCAGGTGTGCCAATGAGTTAGGGTGCTCATGACCAGTGTCTGACACACCCTGCAGCTAGGAGGAGTGGGTGATGTTAATTCCTTCCAAAGGGCAGGCCCAGAAACCCTCGCCCGCGGGTGGTCACTCAACAGTAGGAACAGGTGTGGCTCGACTGCGCCCCCGCCCCGCCGCGGTGTCCCCTACCTATGCGCAGCATGAAGTTGTTGAAGGACTGATTGTTGATGTTGGTCAGCGTGTCCTTCATGGCGAGTGCGAAGTCGGCCAGGTCGGCCAGGTGCTGCCAGCGCTCCTTGTCTGACTTCTCTTCCTGGGCCCAAGCAGCAGAGCGCACTTCAGGCCCTACCCGGGCCCACAGCTGGCGCAGCCTGCCCCCGGGGGAGCCCTGCGCCCTTTCTTTCCTCCCTCTCCGGAGCCCAGCTCCACCGAGTCCCAGGGCCGCGCCCCCTGTCCGGGCCTCAGTGCCCCGTTCAGCGTGGCCGCCCATTTGGAGCCCTTCCCTAGATGGTAAGCATTTGGGCCAGTGACTGCAGCCCCTTGATTAAAGTGGAGATGGGTGGTAGCAGGTCACGGAACAGTGGACGTGCAGGTAAACTTATTTTGCTGCAGAAACTTTTAAGAATCTATCCATGGCCGGTGCCGTGGCTCACTAGGCTAATCCTCCGCCTTGCGGCGCCGGCACACCAGGTTCTAGTCCCGGTCAGGGCGCCGGATTCTGTCCCGGTTGCCCCTCTTCCAGGCCAGCTCTCTGCTGTGGCCCAAGAGTGCAGTGGAGGATGGCCCAAGTACTTGGGCCCTGCACCCCATGGGAGACCAGGAGAGGCACCTGGCTCCTGCCATCAGATCAGCGCGGTGTGCCGGCTGCGGCGGCCATTGGAGGGTGAACCAACAGCAAAGGAAGACCTTTCTCTCTGTCTCTCTCACTGTCCACTCTGTCAAAAAATTAAAAAAAAAAATCCATCCATAGTTTTTCCATAATACACATTTCCATGAACTGCTTGAAGCTGTAGGACAGGTGTACCGGCGACGTGGCTGAGTGTTCTAAGAACAGTACGCCAGCAGGGCCCCGCAGCGCCTCCCCTCTCCCGCTAGCTGACTGGAACTGGCTGCACACTCAGGTATGCACCTCTCTGTCAAAAGGAACTTGTCATCGTTATGTAACTGTGTAGCTGGCTCCTGCTCCCTGGTTCTTAGGAAAGTACAGAGCACAGTAGTGGGGCTTTGGTGTGTTTCCCACTTTCCCTGGCTCAGGAAACCTGCTCAGTAGCCCCTGCCTTGTATGTGCTGGTGGGCGTGGCTGGCCCCTCTGGGTAGCAGCAGTGTCAGCCACTTGCAACCTCCCGCTTCCTCTAACCACTGAGTGACTCGCTACCTTGTTGGAGCTGGTAAAGCCGTTGGTGTTGACATCTGGGGTGACTCCCGAAGCCGCCATATAGGTGCTGCCAATGGTTTTGATCTTCGTGATGACCCGAAATTTGGGATTGTCCAGGAGCTGAGGCCAGAATTAAGGAAAAAGAATTGTCAGCAGAGTCCAGGGAACTGAATCCACTCAAGGACCCCTCCCCTCCGAAACACCCACGAGGTGCCGCCTGGATCACCCCACTGCTGATCGGCCACATGAACCTGTGCGAGCTTCCGTTCTGAGCCTCAGTTCTCACAGCCTTAACCTTGAGATGAAATTGCCAGCCTCTCCTGGGGTGGTTGGGCCCGTACACAAAGCCAAATAAACGTTTACTGAATGAATTGTGAGCGTGGGTGGTATCAGTGGCCTCAGCATCTCGGTTGCCCAGTTACCCTGTGAGCCCACAGGTGACTGCCCCTCACAGCCCCAGCAGTTGCATGAAGGAGCTCTCTGGGACAGGGTAGCCATTTGCCCTCGGCAGCCCGGCCTGGGACATGGTCAGAGATTGGGGCGGGGGCGGGGGTGGGGCGCTCACAGAGTCAAAGTCGGAGATGATCTCGTTGAGGAAGCGCAGGCACTCGATGCCCCCATTGTTGATGCTCTCCTCGGTGTAGAAGTCGGCGAAGTTGGGCAGGGAGGCGAACATGACTCCGATCTCATCATAGGACTGGCTGTACAGCTCCTAGAGAGGCAGGGCCACAGCGCTGCAAGAACCACTGGCGGAGGGTGTGGTGCCGCGGAGCCACGCCTGTCCTCACACTGTCCTCGGGTCCTCCCGACCCCGGGTTACCCAGACAGCGCCAACCAGAAGGAAAGGAAGGGCGTGGTGGAGCTGGGAGCCATGCTGTTGAGAGCAGAAGGGTGGGTCAGGCCCACGCCACCTAACCACGCCTGTGGCAAAGCCTGGGAGGCTGTGGGGCTTCTGGTACTCTGGCCGGCCAAATCTGTTCCTATCTGGGTCAGGTGAGGCCACATGGCCTCAGGCTGCAGCCCAGGGCCTGTCTCACCTCGTCTCTCTTCTTGGACCCCAGGAAATGGCGTGCCACGTGCTCAGGCAGCATGTTGGTGACCAAGGCCTCGTTCCAGCGCCGCATCTCATTGACACGCTCCTTCTGATCGTGGACCTCCATCTTCCACAGGAACAGGGTCCGTGCCAGCTTTTCCACCTGCAGGCACAGTGTGCTGTAAGCTGGCTGCTTTCGGAAAGATGGAGATGGTCCCCTTGGGGAACCTGGAGAGAGGGTGGCTCAGTGGCCGGGAAGTAACCAGAAGTGCTGCGGCCAGGATCTCGGCCTGTGCTGACAGCCGAGAACCAAGAGCCTTCCTGTGCAGAACCCCCAGGCCCTCGTAGCTGTGGAGTCTGGTGGGCAGCCGCAGTGGTGGGAGACTCCTAGCCCCATGGGAAAGACCCCTTTCCCAGCAGCTTTGGCCCGGAAAGTGCCATGAGAAAGCTGCACTTCCCCAGGTGAGCCACTGGGGGGCACCTGAGCCAACAGCGCAGGTTCCTCGCTCGGCTCCTTCCCTGACTGCCTCCCCCTTTACCCTACCACAGGAACTGCGGCTCCCTCTCTTCTGGCTCTGTGGTCAGTGTTAGTGCTGGTGACCCCTAGTGCCAGGTGAGTGCAGGAGCCACGAGCCCCAGTCCAGGGAAGGTGGTGGCTTGCCCAGACACAGGGCATGCTGGGTACAGGGAACTAGAGTTCTCTAGGTGCCTGGGGCTGTGCTGAGCGGGGGTGGGGGGGGTGTGCAGGCACTCACGTGGCGCGAGAAGTAGTAAAAGCTCAGCATCATGACCAGCATCATCGCTGTCATCGAGTACTTGGATGGCATCAGCGGCAGCCTGCTGGGCAGAGAGGCGTGCGGCTGAAGAGAGCGCCTGTGCTGCCCTCCCGGGAGCCTCACCCCTCCCAGCCGGGTCCTGCTGTGTCCCGTCAGGCCAGCTCCCATCCAGGTGCTATTGGGAGCCAACGTAACCCTGGTCTCCCATGCAGCTGGCAGGAAACCACGTACTTGAGCCCTCAGCACTGGCTCCCAGGGTCCACGTTAGCAGGAAGCGGGAACTGGGAGCTGAACCAGAGCTGGGAACTGACCCCAGACATGCTGATGTGACAACACGAGGCCTAACTCCTGCCAGCCCCTCCCAGCTACACTTGGTGTTCACCTCACTGCTGGGGTGAACCCAGGGGCTTAGTAAGCAGAGCGCCACCCGACGATGGCAAAGGGGCCACAGCCATGTGGGAACGTAGTAGAGAGTGCCGTCACACTGGTGGGACTTCAGCAGTGGGACCAGGGCGCGACTTGACTTTGGTACCTTATACCTCTTGCCCGTATCTTTGTGTGAAGCTGTGATTGATTTCCAGTGCTGTGTGCTGTGTGGTGTATGAATACGTCAGTTTACGTATCTGCTTACTGCTGGCGTCACCTGGGCTGATCCGTTAGGTTTCAGATGCGTGAGCGTTAGAGAAGGCTACGATGGACATTCCTGCCCAGACGTCTGGGGGCACCGTGTGTGACTTCTCTCAAGTACACCCCAGTATGCAGGCGTGCAAGTGCTGAGTCGGGGTCTCACTGCAACTTTACTAAGTAACCCAAACTGTTCTCTCAGTTACCACTGTACTTAACTTTTTTTTACCAAATTTTCAGTGTACAGAAGTATTTCGTTACAGCTTAGTTTGCATTTTCTTTAGTACATGAGTATCTTTATTAGTGGCCACATAAGATTTGTGTGTGTGTGTGTGTGTGTGAATAGCCGATTCAAGTCTTCCATCTAATATTAGCTAATGTTTTCTTTCTTAAGCTTAGTTGAAGGTCTGTTCAACTCACTAAATCTTAAAATTGTGAAACTTGAGAGCCAGGACGAACCTTCCCGAACTTCTAGTCAGTGTGAAACGCTCGGGCAAGGTGCCCTGCCTGGCACTGACTGCGGCGGGGCGGAACCCCACTCTCTCCGCGTTGTCCGGCCGTCTCCTGCCAGCGGTCACGTGCCACTGTCGCCCCCTCGGCGGCCCCTCACCACCACCACACACTGCTGTGGTCTCCAGGCCTCACTGACGAGGAGTCCCACACGTCCCGGCCCACACCAGGGTCCCCCTGCCTCCTCCCTGGCTTTCCCACAGAAACACGTGCCAGGGCGGGCGCGTGCGCGGCACGGCAGGTTCTAAGCCGCTGCCTGTGACAGCAGCATCTGTCACGGCACCGGTCTGGGTCCTGGCTGCTCTGCTCCTGGCGCTGGCTTCCTGCTGTGCCGGGGAAGGCGGCAGCCGATGGCCAGGTGGCTGTGGGAGACCTGATGGAGTTCCTGGCTTGTGCCTGGGTCACTTGGGAGGTGAACCAGTGGCCAGGAGATCCCTACCCCCGTGCTCTAGCATGGATATTGCCTCTGGAAGGGGGAATTCGTGACGAGCTGGCCAGCCTCGTGTCCTGTCTAGAACAAGGCCCTGAGTGCAGGCCAGGACGGACGCAGCAGGCCTTACCTGTCGGTACCGTTGAGCCCAGGGGCGGAAACGACCTGCATCTTCTCCAGGGCCACCAGGGGGAAGCTGTGGATGGGTCACTGCTCACTCGGCCGCTCTGGGCATGGACGACCGCAGCCCACCCGGGATGAGTGCGGCGCCGTGAGCCCTGGCTCCCACGCAGGCCTTTAGGGAGCGGTAAAGCCACCACCCCGCGTGGCCCAGGACCTTGCCGTGCGTGGGGCCTCGGGGGCGGGCGGGGGGAGACCACACACACCCTTCAGACTCGGCCTCACCCGTGCTCCTGGAAGCGCCTGTGGTCGTACTCGTCGAAGACGGGGCTCCAGGCGGTGAGGTTGATGGCGGCCACGGCGCCCGTGACGAGCAGCATGAGCGTGAGCTTCACCATGTGGCTGACCTGCACCAGCATGATGGTGGCGACGAGCGACAGCACGGCCACGTAGCTGTAATACTTGGGGTTCTCCAGGCAGCCGCCCCCCAGCTCCTGCCCCGCCGTGCCATTGCCCGGTCCCGCGTAGTCCTGCAGACAGCTGAGCTGCAGGCGGGCAGGGGACAGCGGACGCTGCTCAGGGACGGCGGTGCCACGGCAGTGCCCTCAGCAGCCCCAGAAGCACGGGCAGTGTAACCGGAGATGCAGGTGAGGGACCACTACCCAGAGGGCAGCAGGGCATGGCCGCAGTCGCAAAGCCTCGCCCCTGCGTGCAGGAACTCGATGGGGCTGGACCCGCCAGGCCAGGAGTCCGGTCTTGGGGCGCCTGCTCCAACGCTCTGCCCACCTCCCACGGGGGCCACTAGGCCGCCCTGTCGTGATGGCCCCGTCACCCCCTCTGCCGCCTGTCCCCCACTTCCATTGCCAGCAGAGGTGGGCAACAGAAGGGGCACCCGTTAACTGAGCCAAACCGCTGCCTCCTGACCTTCACCCCCGGGCCCGTCTGGCTCTGGGCAGGCTCCATGGCGTCTGCGGCCCCTTGCGCCTCAGCCCGCCAGCCGTGTGCAGGTGCCCGGGCTCAGGTGTGCGACACGACAGCCGCCTGGAGTGCCTGCCTTCTCTCTCCAGTGGCCCTTGGGCTCCTCCCTCACAGCCCCAGAGCTGTCATGCTACAGCCACAGCACGTCTCCTGCTGCCTTAATTCCTGTGCTTCAGTCACAGAAAATACAGCAAATATTCACTTGGGGAAACGTATACAGTGCTCCCGAGACTGGAGGGAGCTGGCCAGCTGCTGGGTGTGGTAAGTGGCTGCCCCAGCACTCGGTGCCCAGTCCGTGCCCTGCGGCTGCCAGTGACCAGATCTGGGCTTCCAACTCCTGTCGCTCCTCCCCGAGAAGGCACCTGCCTGCCCCTGGCTTCTCCACGGACCCAGCAGGGAACAGAAGCTGCTCTTGTCCCTAGCCGTGGGGACACGCGGCTGCTGACGGTCTGGCCGCGTCCACGTAGGAGAAGCGAGTGCCTTCGGTGGTACCGGCTCAGCTCTCGCTGGATGCTCGGGACCGGCTCGCCGCGCGGAGGCTGCAGGGTGCCCTGGGCAGTGAGCCTCGCGGGAAGGGAACGGGGTTGGGGGTGGAACTGCTCTGCTCGGGTTCCTGACTCTCAGGCAGCGAGTGTTCTTCCTACAGAACTGGACGCTGCCAGCGGCCTCTCGGGGTGACTCCAAAGCTTAAATGCGCCAGCATCTAGGACTCCAGAGGACACACGAGACTGTGCTCGCAGGCGACAGGGGAGAGGGAGGAGCCCGGGTGACGAGGGGCGGCACGTGCAGGGGGCTGCGTGGCAGACTGCCCCGTGTCTGATGGAGGCATGACCTCGTGCGCCAGCACGGGCGCAGCGAGCTCACCATGTCCACGACATTTGCCATCACCAGGATGAAGATGGCCAGCATGGCCCAGGTGTTCCTGGCCCAGCGGGTCTGGTCGATCCACGTGGAGAAGGCTACCAGCTTCTTAGGAAAGGCCTGGAAGGGATGGAATGCGAGGGCCGTGAGCTGCCAAGGGCCGTCTCCACACACTTGACCGCCAAGCGAGTCCCCAGAACTAGAAAGTAGGGTCCTGCCCGGGAGCCAGCCCAAGGGCCCTGCGGGGAGGGGCGCGGGGGTCCTGGTGCTCGGGGCAGAACTGCGGCCTGCACGTGCCCGTGGCCTCCAAGGCAGACAGGCGCCTCCCGAGACAACGTGGGCAGCTTGCACAAGAGGCGAGGCCAGGCCGGGCATGGTTTTCAGGGCCCAGCTGTCCCTGCCTGTCCTCCGTCAGGTCCTCCCAGTCACCTGGCAAACCACCCGTCTGGTTCTCTCATGAAACACTGCTTTGCCCTTGTGGTTCCCGTCAAACGTTCTGCCCGGCATCCCGGGGCCCTGCAGTGTGGCTTTCAGGGTCTTTCAGCTAAGGCCCACCGGCCCACCTCCAGTGGGGCTGCCCTGTCTCCACCGAGGCGCCCCCGCCCCGCCCCCCCCACCCGCTCAGAGCAGGGCAGCTGTGCACCGCCCCAACAGGATGGCCCAGGTGTCTGTCATGAGCAGACAGGAGGCCTCCCCAGAGAGGCAGGTCTTACCCGGGGAAAGATGGCAGCCAGCGAGCAGACGGTCAGGATCAGGAGCAGGACCTCCCCGACCACAAAGGTCACGTAGTTTGTCATCAGCCTGTGCCGGACAGGTGACGACTGAGGAGGGCCCGAGACTGGGCAAGCGGCTCAGAGAGCGGAGAAGGAGAGACAGGGGAGGGCGGCCCCTCCACCACAGCACAGGCCTGCGCCTGGACGTCCTGGGCAGGGCCAGGCAATCGGCAGCCACTGCCTGCATGGACATGACCCTGGGGGCAGCACCAGCTGCCTGCAGGGCCTGGGGACGTGCCATGTTCCGGGGGTGTGGGGGTGTCACGGACAGCCTGGGCAGAGCCCCGCAGGACTCTGGGAAGGGATTCTCAGGAAGGAGTACGGCCTGACCTCGCCCAGGGGAGCCGCCACCGCCGCCTCTCCCCTGCCCCCACCGAGCCCCTCCCAGACAGGGCTCCAGAACACTAGGAACACACAGGACTACCACCAACCTCAGCGCACGGCTGCAGTGGAGTTCAGCCCTCCGTCTGCACCCTGCCTGTGTGGACAGCTCCCACGCGGGCTTCCCCACGCCCACCCTCTCCCCCAGCACCCGCCAGAGCGGCCGGCCGGTCCCTTGGACCTCACGTGTCCACCGCCTGACTCCACGCCTCTCCCGCCTGCCTCTCCCCTTCCCACACCCTCCACCCTGCCAAGTGCTCACAGAGCCTGCTTTCCCGCCAGGACGGCCTCCCAGTCACCCATCAGTCACCACCAGTCCCCAAGCGCAGACCCCGCCCGCTGTCCCCCCTGTCAGCCATCTGTCCCCAGCCTTCCCAAGCCATGTCACATGGGGGTTCTCTACTCGTGTCCCCAGCGGCCACCAATTTCTAGGGTGGCAGCTGGTGGTTCAGCTGTGAGGGCCTCCCCGTCTTCCCTGCTAGAACACAAAGCCAGGAGACTGGCGGGTCGCCGCCGTGTCGCTGCTCCGTCCCCAGGGCACACGGCAGAGCCTCAGCACCCACCCCCAGGGCTCGAGGTCTCAGAGTGCGCCTGCCCGGGACTGACCTGCCCGTGACCACGCGTCCAGGACCCGGGCCAAGCGGCTGAGGCCAAGACTCCACACCCTTCTCTGATGGGCACCCTGAGCGAGGGGGAGGGGAACAGCCGCCCTGCAGGGGGCGCTGTGGCGAGGCCATCGCTGTGGCCCCCAAGTCAGTCTGCACGGAGACAGCCAGAGAACGGGAGGCCCAGCATCCGAGGCTGAGGCAGCGTCCCCACCCCGTCCACCCCGGATCCTCCGCTCTCCGCTCTCAGCCCTGCTCCCGCCTGGTGCCGACGTCAGAGGACGCCGCCCCGGCCCGGCCGCCCCGTTCCCGCTCCCGCTCACCAGGGGTCGATGAGGATCTGCACCAGGGCCGTGCACAGCAGGACGACGCAGGAGCAGCTGAAGGCGGCCCCGCTCTGCTTCTCCTTCTCCTCCGAGTAGCGGGACTCCAGGTCGGGGTCCATGAACCGCATGGACAGGAGGAAGGTGTTCCTCTTCTTCACCCTGCGGGGAAGCCAGCCCCGACTCACCCTCCGGCTGGGCTGCGCCTGCCCGGGTGGGGGCGACTGCCCAGGGCGACCGCAGCGCCCGACCCCTGCCCGGCCCCCCGCGCCACTTACACCTGGGCGGACTCGCGCTCCAGCAGGGCCTCGTTGAGCAGCTGGTTGAGCTCGTGCTCGTCCTCGGAGGCGTCCACCACGCGGTCGGCCAGGTCCTGCAGGCGCAGCCTCCGGCGAGGGTTGGGGAAGGAGGGGTTGTCCGCCTGTGAGCCGGGGGACAGGGCAGGGGGCGGGGGAGGGGCCGTGTCGGTGAGGACTGGACTCCTTTAGCTCTAAAACACTGCCCGGCGCGCCCACGTGGCTCCACCCTGCTCGGGTCTAGACCCAAAGCCACGGTGCCACCCAGTCTCCCGGGGCGGGGCCCCGACGGCAGTGCTGGGGGGACAGCCCCCTGGCTCCAGAGCTGGAGGCCAGGGCGGCTGCAGGGTCAGTGCAGTCCTGGCGCTGCCGGCTGCCGGCTGAGCCATGTGCACGGAGCCATTCGCGTGGGCACCCCGGGGCAGGAAGGGCTTGGGGAGCTGTCAAAGGGGACCCATGTCTGGCTCACTACGGGGAGGAAGCTTGGAGGCGGACGTAATGAGAGCATGTCCTTGTCACCAGCGAGTTGACAAGGAAGGGCAGGCGGAGCCGGGACACCACCACCGCTTTCCCACCAGCAGTCACGAGGGAACAGGGCCCCAGCTGTGGCTGCACAGCCACCGGGCGCACCACAGCTGAGACGTGGCGGGGTCGGGGCTGCGCAGCCGTGCCAGCGCCAGTGCATCTGGAAGCCAGAAGGGACCCCAACCCCCTCTCGGGGTGGCCTGTCCCCAGCCCCGCATACCTGCGCCTCCTGCTGCTCGGGCTCCTCCCACGTGGAACTGCCGGCCTGGCTGCCCCCCACGGGCTCCTTGGTCTCAATGAGGGCAGGCGAGCTGGGCTTGGAGGAAGCTGGCGCTCCGTTGGGCAGGGCCTGCAGCGGGAAGGAGCAGCTCAGGGCCCCCCCCCCCAGTCCCCAGGAGGCTTGGCGCTGGAGCGGCGGGAGCCCTGCTGACTCAGGCCCCCACGGGTCAGCCACTTTGCACCGCTGTCCTCAGACACCACTTTCCAATCAGCGCCGCTCCTCTTTCTAAGCAGTGACCCGTGACGGGATTCAGAGGCCTCCCGGGTGCGGAACCCCGTCCCGTGTCTCGTCAACGTCGGGTAACTCCACAAGGCCCCTCCCCAGGGACGGGACCTTCACAGTCGAGTTCAACACCGTGACACAGGCACACACTTCATCCCCTCAGCCAGGAAGCATTTATCGAGCCCCACTACGCGACAAGGGCTGGCCTGCTCCCCAGGGATACAGACACAATGTCCTCGGCTCACAGAACTCACTCTACGGAGAAAAGGCAGAGTCAAACGCGAGCAGGTGTGATGCACACACGGCACACAGGGAGAGGGAGGGCGGAGTTGAACGCGAGGTGCGACGCGCACACGGCACATGGAGAGGGAGGGGCGGAGTCATCAAGCAAGCAGGTGTGACATGCACACAGCACACAGGGGCACGGGAGGGCGGAGTCAAATGCGAGCAGGTGTGACGTGCACACGGCACACGGGGAGAGGGAGGGCGGAGTCAAATGCGAGCAGGTGTGACGTGCACACGGCACACGGGGAGAGGAGCTCGCTCTGGGAGGGAAGCAGGAAAGTGGGCAGGGCTTGCTGGGAGCCCATCTGTAAAGGGGAAGGGGCAGGGGCGTGTCACTGTCACAGGGAAGGCGGCAGCTCAGCAAAGACCTGAAGGAGCAAACCGTGTGGCAGGGCAGGCTGGGGAGAGCTTGAGAGCCATGCAGAGCGTGGCGCACAGCTGAAAGGCGTGTGGAGCACCAGCGAGGAGGCCAGCGGCGCGGGGCAGTGAGCGGAGGAGGGGCCATGGGGAAGCCCCCACTGAGACCCAGCCAGCAGGAGCACCCGACCGTGGCCCGCCATTCGCCCATTCCTTCTCCACTGCCCGCGCACTCGGCCTGGGTGCTCCTCCCCGTGGGATCCCAGCCGCCCTCCACCACGCTGTCCCCTGCGGCTTCAGACACCTCCTCTGTACCGGGGACCCTTCCCCTCCAGCCACGTCCAGGTCTCGGGGCCTCCCCCCCGAAGCAGCTTGGGGCACCTGCAGTCACCTGGGTATCACCCTGCCCTGAATCACACTCACGACTCCCCCAGAAACCAGCCGCCCCCCAAAAGGCACCATGGCCACGTGCCGGCTCCGTGGGACGCGGAATCGGGCTCGTGCCAGCCTGGCCCTGCCCTCCGTCGGCCGGGGGGGCTCCTGCCAGGTCCCCCACAACCTTCTGGCCCCTTCCTGTGGCTGCCCGCTCCGGGGCGGCGACTCACCGAGCCGTGGAGGCCGTTCTGGGCGGCGGCCTTCACGGCGGGCTGGGAGGCGATGATGAGGTAGGTCTCGATGCCCTTCTCCTCCAGGTAGTCGCAGCGGCTGCCCCCCTCGCCGGGCTCCACGTCGAACTCTCCCTTCAGGCAGTCCAGGGTGCTCTGGGAGATGTGCACGCGCCTGCGTTGCAGCAGGGGAGCGCTGAGCGCGGGCCGTCCTGCCACCAGCCCACTCCCCTCTGCGGCCCGGGCGGCTTTTCCGCGTGGGCTCCTGAGAGCCTCACGTGAGGTCAGGGGCCCCTGTCTGCGCTGGACTTGAACTCCACGGTGCCGAGGGCCGAGCGGTCCCCCACCTCGCCCGAGTTCTACTTGCAAGCCCGGCAGCCAAGGGGTCACCACCAGGGACAGCACCGCGGCGGCCCTGGAAGGGAGGTGCTGACCAAGGAGGAGCGCAGGGCGAGGTCAGCCGCCTGCTGGCTGGTTCCGCGGAACCACACCGCGTCTGCAGAGCGCTCTCTCCCAGCCTGCAGCTTCCCGCGGGGAGACCAGGGCTGTGACGTCAGCGAGTGAGGGAGTGCGAGATGACGACCAGACCGCAGGCAGCAGGAGAGGAACACTGCCCCTTAAGGCCCTTTACCCTCATCAGGGCGAGGGCCCGTCCCTGGGCCCCACGCCCACCCCCCTGGAAGGGACGCTCACCCGGGGATGCCGCCGGCCTCCATCTTGTTGGCCACGGTGACGTCGGTGGACCACACGTCGTACTGCCAGCGCTTCTGGCCCAGGACGCCCCCCAGTACAGTGCCTGTGTGCACCCCCACACGCATGTCCACGCCAGTCTTCGTCTTCTCCCGCACATACCTGCCAGGGACACACGGCAGGAGGGGTCGCACCTGGCCCTCGGCAGGTGGCCGTCCCCTCCTCTGCTCGGGCTCTCTCCCCCTCCAGGTTGGGGGGGTCTGGTGTGTGCACCCCCCCATCCTCTGTTTTCAGCCTGCATCCCAGCTGCAGAACCGAGGCTGGGTTACAGCAGGCTGGGGCCACGCCCGGGTTCAGCCACCGCAGGCCAGTGGGACAACCCTCAAAGCTATCTCCTTGCGGGAGGGGTAGACGCGGTGAGACCAGAGAGAGCAGAGATGGGGACACATTGGCGGGGCCGCGGGTCCCAGAAAATGTCACACACTTCAGAACTGCACCTTGCAGGGAGGTGAGCCACGTGCAGACCTCCTGAGGTCAGGCCGATGACTCATCAGCCCGAGGGGCCACAGCCGACTCCCCTGACCCCCTGACGGAGTCCCCCAAGCCGCACTGAGCACGAGGCCCGCCTCCTGTGGTGTCCAGGGCCAGAGCCCTCCCTCCCGGAGGTCTCCGCTTACGAGATGGCCTCCACCATGGCGAGCCCCATGAGGATGGAGCACACGGCGTGGTCCTCCCGGTAGTCGGGCAGCCCGCAGATGCAGTAGTAGCAGTCGCCCAGGATCTTGATCCGCAGCTGGTGGTATTTCTGAAAGGGCAGGGCGTGGCTGCAAGGAGAGCACCGCCACACCAGCAGCGGATGCCCCGCCCCCCGTGTAGCGCCCCCGTGCAGCGCACGCGCAGCCCCCGCAGGCCCCCGCAGGCCCCCGCAGGCGGTACTCACGGCCGCCAGCTTGTCGAAGCGCGCAAAGAGCTCGTTGAGCAGCTTCACGAGCTCCTGGGCGCTGCAGGCAGAGGAGAGCTGAGTGAAGCCCACGATGTCGGCGAAGAGGATGCTGCGAGAGGCGGCGAGGCGGGAGGTGAGGCCGGGCCCTGCGCCCCACCCCACGGCGGGAGCCCGTCTCGGCTCCACCCCCGGAGCAGTGAGACCCCCGTGCTTCCAGGCAGACTTGGGGCTCTGCACAGGGACCCCTCTGCAGGCCTCCCCTCCCGCCCGCCCCCCACCCCAGGTCGTGCGTGTACAGTGAGGAGGCTGGACCAGGCAAACCAAAAGCCCTTCCAACCCAAACCCCTTCCAAGTGGGGTCCCCCGCTTTCTCCCTTTTTTTCCAATGGAGGACCTGAGTTCAGCCCCGGGGGGGGGGCTGCCCCCTGGGGGGAAGCCGAAGCCCCCCCCCCCCCCCCCCCCCGCCGCGGCCCCACGCGCGCACCTGACATTCTCGTGGCGGTACATGTACATGGTGTTGAACTGCTGCTGGTCTTTCTGGCTCTCATCCTTCTTCATGTCCTTCAACATCTCATCGGCCACGTGCTTGGGCAGGATGGACAGCATGAGGTTCTCCTGCGGGGAGGCGCACGAGGACGCTGGGCTCCCGGGGGCAGGGGCTACCCTGCGCACCTGCAGAGCCGAGGTCAGGTGGCCCGCGAGGAGCCCGCGCTCTGGCGAGAGCCAGCACCCAGGGACCACAGGGGCCTTCCACCCAGGAAGACCGGGGGCCAGGCCAGGCAGCTCCAGGTCGTGCTTGTTCAAGGTGGCGCCAGCCCCTTCCAAGCCCCGGGACGAGCCAGAAAGGCTGCCGAGAAGCCCTGGTGTGGTGCTGCTTGGCGCCTCCTCCTGCAACAGGGGGTGTGAGGGTCCTGGGGCAGCCGCTGCAGAGGGAGCCCCTGAGGGCAGGACTGCAGGGGCACCTTCATGTCACCCACCCCCGCCTGTCCTGCTGGGGGCCCCGGCCGTGGGCACCTGACGTTCTCGCAGCGGTACATGTATGTGGTGTCACTGACAGACGCAACCTGAACCAAGACCTACAACATGACAGGTGCCAGTGATACAAAACCTGCCAGGTGTGTGTTTCGCCGCCCCAGAGCTTAGGGTCCCACGGGGACACAGCAGTCTGAGCAGACAAGGCCCCACGAGAAGGGAGGGATCAGAATCAGCCAAGGTGGGCGTGGGGCAGCCAAGGAGGGCTCCCTGGTCTTGAAGACACGGTACGGAGAGCATTCCTGCTGGAGGGGCCACACGTACACAGACACAGACACAGACACAAAAACCCTACCGCCTTCAGGGATCTGCCAGTATTACAGAGAGAAACGGAGCCCAGCTCCAGAGGCAGGCACAGCGCACGCAGAGCAACCACGCCAGCAACCACAGCTTGGGTGGGGTGGGAAGCCCGCGGCTGCTGCTCCATAGCGCACCACTGCACCCAGCTGCGCCCCCTTCTTTCCATGTGGTCGCAGTGGCACCCTGCTCCCGCAGCGGAAGGGGCAGGGCAGCAGATACCACGCGGCCCGCGCGGCTGGAGATACTGACTCTCTGGATGGCCTGGGCTCCTGGGTGGAGGGTGCCAGTCTCTGGAATACGGAACAAAGGAGGAGAACCTGGCGGGAGGGGCAGAAGGGAGGGGCTGCCCAGCGTCGTGTACTCCCGGGAAGGAAGCCGTGGGAAACGGGAGATGAGCGACACAGGCTGCAGGGCGGCCTCGATGATGACGGACAGCACAGGGCTGCCCCTGGGGAAGGCCAGGGAGGACGGTGTCTGCAAAGGGAGGGGAGAGGAGGAGGAGAGCCTCAAAGGCTGAGGTTTCGCGCGAGGGAAACTAAAAGGCGGGCAGGCGGGGAACTGAGGCCCGTGGGCCAGCCTGGAAGAGGCGGGGGCTGCACGGCCACAGAGTCGTCAGCGGAAGGTTGAGGATAAGAAAGTGAGGGGTTCAGCGACCCAAGTGCAGGTCACAGGAGCGACCGACGAAAGCCAGGAGCTGGTGTCTGGTCCTCGGCACGTGGGACCTGACGGGTGTGCACCAGGGCACAGGGGGGCAGAGGCCAGGGTCCCGGGCTGCTAGGGCAGGAGGAGCGACCTTGCCCTCCGCCAAGGCCCAGGCAGGAGAGCCGGCCATGCTGATCCACTCTGCCGTGTCCAGCGGGCCCAGGGAACACCGCTCAACCTGTGTTTTGGATGCACCTGCTCTGGGTCAGGAGGGGCCGGCATAGGTTCAAGTGCTATCCTCCAGGAGGAGCTGCCAAGAGGTCCCAGAGGCTTCCCCACCCCGAGGAGAAGCAGCCCTGTTGCAGGGACAGCCCTGCCTGTCTGCTGTCCGCAGCCCAGGAGCCCCTGGCTGCCCACCGGTCCTGCCCCAAGGGGGACCCGGTCTCCTGGGCTCTGCGAATTCACGGCGGGGTAGGGGGAGAATGAACCATCTTTCGTGCCGTCATCACCAGGTAGGACATCAACGAGGCCCTCTGCCCAGCACGCGGAGCCCAGGGAGCACTCACACTGGTTTCACTCCGACTTTCCCATTTCAAGGGCAGTGGCTCTTTCCCCGTTAAACACCTCGCCCAGGAAACATCGCTGCAGCCCAGGAATGAGAAGCCAAGGTAACCCAGGTGCGCCAGATCCTGGCTCCGCCTGAGCCCTCGGGGAGGCCGAGCCAAGCAGGTGCAGGTAACTCAGGTGACCCTGTCCCTCAGCTGGGGGGGGGGGCAAGGTGAGGGAAGGCAGATGCAAAGGGATGGGCGCGGGGGGGGGGTGTCTCTGGTAGACCTGGAGCCCCCTCCCCTAAGCCTAACAAACGCGGGCACCGTGGAGAAAGCTCTCAGTTTGGACAAAGGAGCAACCTCTGGGAAAGTGCTCAAGGAAACCCAGACAGGCCCTGCAGCGCCAAGCGGCTTGCGGAGCTGCTGGAGTCCCAGCGGGCAGGGGCCAGGGGTCTGCCGCAGGTGGGCGGGAGGCAGCGGTGAGCACAGGGACCCGGGAGTCCCAGCCTGGCCAGGAGCGCGCTGCCCCAGACAGTGATGAAGAGCATGGGGCCTTGGGCTCGACGGTGCGATCAGATCCCAGGCCTGTCCACAAGCACTGGCTATCACACAAGTTCCTAAGCTTCTCTGTGCCGTGTCTCCTGGATGCGGCCAAGGGTGTGGGTGTGCAGACGGTGGGTGTTGTGGGAACATGAGGCCGGATCTCCCTCTGGGCCCCAAAGCCGGCTTCCGCGCTACAGACCGAGAGCTCCTGCCGGTGCAGGCGGAACCACGCATGGGACGCAGGCCGGATCCTGTCTTCCGATCGGCCCCAGCCTCTCTCTCTGCCCTGCTCCCCACCTCCACCTCTTTGCTCACCTGCGTGGTCACCCAGAGCGCTGCCTAAGGTGTGCAGCGTGGGTCAGTGCGAGGGGCGGGGGAGGGCCTGCATGGGGGCATGAGCGGGGGAGGGATGCCGAACGAGGTTTAAGAAGACAGCAGTGCCACACTGGGCTCCCTGACAGCCTGCGTGCTGCAGCCGGGGCCACACGCCTGCCCTCTCAGACTCCGCCCCAGGTGCCCTCCCGCCACAAAAGCTTTTCTGGGCTCCCTTGGATTCTGGGGGACTGCAGAAGCCAATCCAATCCCACAAGGAGCTCCAGGCCTCTCACCTCCAGGCCCGCCCCTGCCCCTCCTTCTGCCACAGCCTGGGGCTCCAGGGCCAGCCAGTGAGGCACTAACCCGGGGCAGCCCCAAGGCCCAAAATACAGGTGCCCAGAGCCAAGGCTGCAGCTTCCCTCGGGCGTGGGGGCGGGAACTTCACTTTCGCATTACGTCTCTCCTTAACCTTTTCCAAGAGCAATCTACGAGTCTAGAGGTAGGAAATCCTCTTACGGACAGCAGTAAAGGAGCCGCAGCTGTAAACTAGGGCTACCGACATACTCGCGTGGCTTATGGAAACCTCACAGTCAACCCCAAAGGGCAAGCAGGCAAACCGTCCACCCCAAGTCATTCTGGCAATGAGACGGGCCTTAAAGGAGGAGGCCCCGCGGCAGGGAGGGCAGATGGAACTTGACAGCAAGAATGGGGTGGAGCAGGAGGCTGTGGGTGTGGGGACTTGGCAGGAAAGCCCCTCTGGTGGCCGGAGCCCCGAGGGAGAACAGCCTCCCCCGCCACCCCCCACGTCCCAAGCCCCTGGTGACAGCCTCTGAAGGGGCCTCCCCGGCGCCGCCCTCCACAGATCTCCTGAGCCCTGTGCGCCCAGCACCCTGCCTCTCCCATCCCCACTCCTACTGCTTTCCTCTGTACCCGCCCTGTGTACCCCGCCGTGGGCCACCCCTCCCTACACCCGCGTGCTGACACCTGCTTCCCACACACCCCCCAGAAAGCCCCTGGCCGCACTGCCCCCCCCACCTTCCTGCTGGAGTTGACCTTGCTTGCCCTGGTACTTCAGAGGTTCTAATCCCTCTCCTCCATCCTGGCCCCGCTTAAGGGTGTGACGTGAGCCAGGATCTTTTAAGGAAACTCTTACACACAGGATCTCGGATCACCATTCTCAGGCCCCAGGTGAAAGACCCCAACCCTTTGATGTGTGTTTCAGGGGCAGGGGGGGAGGTGCAGGTGCACTTGTTTGGTGGGTCTAACAGGGGGAGGGGCCGCTAGGCTAGCTCAGGGGCCAGAGCTGATGGACATGGCTGTGAGGCAGAGCACTGCTCTTCCAAAAACAGTAGCTACATGTTTTAGGAATCCTAAGAATGTTCCCAACCTTTGACCCATTAATGGCTCCTCTGAATTTAGCCAAAGGAAACAATTCAAATAAGTTAAAAAAAAAAAATTGTGCAAGGTCTACACTGTAGTATGACAACACTTGTGGGAAAAACTCTAAGCCAACGGCTAAACTGTGACGAAAGCTCATGCAACCTTGAAAACGATCATGATCCAAACCAGCACAGCAAAAAAACGTGCAGCGGGTGGGCAGGGCTGGATCGTATTCTGGGAAGGTGGTGCTGAGACACACGCGGGCACAGCTACAAAGACAGTATTCGGGCAAAAGGAATTTAACCTGGGGATGGAACTGAGGGAAACTTTAAGTGGCTTTCCAAGTCCTTATACAGCGGTGGCCGCTCTTTGTCCAACTCATTTTCAAGGTGGAAATGCACACAAACCTCCGGGTGCCTCCAGCTGCGATCCCAGCCCTGACCCCAGCGTCTCTGGGACAGCCTTCTCAGAAAGGAACGGCCCTTGGGGCTGGCACTGTGGCGCAGCGGGTTAAAGGCCCCGGCATCCCATATAGACGCTGGTTCTAGTCCCGGCTGCTCCTCTTCTGATCCAGCTCTCTGCTGTGGCCTGGGAAAGCGGTAGGTGATGGCCCAAGTCCTTGGGCCCCTGCACCCACGTGGGAGACCCTGAAGAAGCTCCTGGCTTCGGATCAGCACAGCTCTGGCCATTGTGGCCATTTGGGGAGTGGATCAGCGGATGGAGGACCTTTTTCTGTCTCCCAGCGCCCCACTGTAACTCTACCTCTCAAATAAAATCTTAAAAAGGAAAGGAATGGCCTTCCAAGGCCGGCCTGGGGCCGGCTCCGCACTTCTGTGTCCTCCGATGGCCTGAGAA